CGTTGACTTTCGAAGTCATCATAAGGCACATATATCTTTTTTATCTATATAATCCAAGAAGGAAGTAACAATGATAAACATATCGGGAAAAATATTGTAAATTCTATTAAGAGGTCTATTATACTTCGTGTATTCTGCAGACTGTTATCATTAATACAATAAGTGTTAGAGACAGCCAATTAAAGATCTTGTTTTGATGGTCAAAGTCAGAGTAGAGGTCCGACAAAGCTAGTATAAAAAACTCGTTATTCTTCTTCCCTCGTCATATGTCTCATTATCCTCTCGGGACACTTACTCATCCCTCTATGTAACCTCTCTCATTTCACCATCTAAATTCTCCCCTACAATCTTCTCTCCACAATCTTACCTCCAATCTTTTAACCTCTTCTCTACTTCTCATCGCCTCAACTGAATGCGCATCCGACTCCCCCCCTTGTATAATCAACTTTCCACTCCTTAACACCTCATTTTTCTCCACTCTCCCTCTTCCGCTTCTTCTGTACAGGTTCTATAACCTTGCCACTTCTCATAGTACTCTTACTACTGTTTAATTATATTTCACCTTTATGTTTCTTTTCATTCCCTTTATCCTCCTTAATCTTTCCATCCCTTTCCACATGATTCCAGTACCTTATCACCTTCTCCTCAACTCTTTGCAGCACCCCATCCTTGGGGTGGATAAGACCATTGCCATCAGAAGTCTACAAAGTTATGTGCAGTGGTACCTGAGTCAACCTATTGTAGAGACAACTTTACCAATACTCCCTGTACGGTTTTACCATTCAGTTAGAGATCAAAACGTTCTGCTCTCACCGATTTTAACAGGATATTATTGTATAGCTTTATATTGTAAACTTAATAGTTTATGGCAAGAAACCATAGCTTGACCATAAATTAACTACCCCAACATCTGCCAAACCTCGACAAACCACCACCACCAACAAGGCCACTACAAGCTCCTCGGAAGGATCGTAGGCCGCTGCGTCCATCCCTGCCACGCCTCATCATAACAATCCAACACCCCCCCCACAGCATGAACGCGATACATAAACACTGTATCACAACTGGGGACAATTTAATCTTCATAAAGCCAACTATAACCAGATAAACCAACAAACAACCAAAAACACACCCCCCAATACAGGATCCTCACATTTTTAAGCCGGGCGCAGACTCAGCGCTGCAGCTCCCGCGCACACGAAATTGTGCATGGTGGCGGTGCATACATCGCGCAAAAGGTTGAATCGGCAACGAACAAGTTATGTTCTAGTTCATGTATGAAATAGCGCTTACATGAGGAGTTCTCATGTATCGGCGGGTAACAAAAAGGTTAGCATCACACAAGCAATTTGTGGTGTTAAGTAACGCTGAACGTATGGCATGAGGACAGTGGTCTGGTTTACTCCTCTGGATTCATGATATATATATACATAAAACTAAACAACAGCATCCAAATACAGGCTACCTATACTGACACAAGTTACCGGCCGTTTTTCGACTATACGTGGCGGAGGGGTTTGTGCTGACGTCAACATGCTAGGGTGGGGGGCACATACGTGCGTATCTACGCTAACAGAGTATTCGGTCTATGTTTGTGTGATGGCTTTGTGATGCTATTTAATGCTGAAATAGGCAGGTACATGGCTTAGAAATCTCTATGGAACGGAAGTAAGAGATAATAATAAAACAAGTTTATTTTGTACAGTCTGATCATCTCTTTATATTAATCTGTGTGTATGTTGAGTTTGTTGTGGGAGTAAAAGAAGTAAAATTCTGACGAGACCAGTCTGAACTGAATGAATTGGAAGATGAATGATAATCAGCTAGATAGAGATGACTCAGATTTTCGTTTGATTTCACTCTAGACTGAGGATTGGTCATGATTCCATCATCACACCCCAAGAGGCATGATGGAGAGCCCTCAAGGAGCTCTCCATCATCCCTTTTAAAGGTGTGATTTTTAGTGGAGCTCTCCATCATGCCTCTTAAGGGTGTGATTTTTTAGTGGAGCTCTCCATCATGCCTCTTAAGGGTGTGATTATGGAGCGTGAAAAGACCCCCTATGGTGTCCTAGGGGAGTCATTAGTAGTCCTCCTGTACTTTTCAAATCTGAAAGCCTGCTGTACGTCTATTATAGCCAATGGCAATGTATAGTTTCACAACTAGTACTACTGTAAGGGGTCAACAGTCTCAACACCGCCATATACGGATCGAAGCCTGGGCCAGCTGCCTACAGGATTCACATACAGGCTTCGACACGGGATTCACTGTAAGCCTATAGCTCTAGTACTATAGCCCGCGTACAGTTGCCGCTGGCCCCAGTGGCAACTGTACGCGGGCTATAGTACTAGAGCTACTGCAAGCCTGACAAGGCCACGGCAGTGGACGTATATAAGGACCGCCCGGGGTTGATTCGGAGGGCTTCATTCCACCAGACCAGGAGAACCGTCCGCGTAAGGATCAAACCTTACAGTACTACTATTAGTACTAGTACTATATT